GCTCTGCTTCTGTAAAAAAATGGAAGGCAGACCTGGAACTTAAAAAATCTGAAGCACCACTGTGACCAGACATGAGGTCTGGGGGTTTTTTTTGACCAGACAAAGGCCAAAAAAAGTTTTCCAGTCTAGGGTTCGAGTTCTATCTAGAAGAAGAAACACACATTAAGCAAAGCACTAGATAGGTAAGGGATAAGAAAGCAACACTATGGAATATTTCCTTTTAATTTCCAATACTTAAAAATTATCAGATGCTCCAAAGCTTAAGCTTTTTAAGTGCATTTCGAGTTTGTTGTGTGATTGTTTGGGAGTTTTTTTAAATGGAAATTATAAATACATGTTTCAATTAAATCTACAGGTGCATTTTACTTCAGTATTTCTAAACAAGCCCATTTCATTGTTTCAAAGGCATAATGTTCTTGCACGACAAAAAAAAGAAGCAGAAAATCCTGATGTGCATTCTCTATATTCCTACTGCTATCATCGCTGTTACTCCTTTTCCTACTTGTGGGCTTCAAGCAGCTACTGTCCACAGAGCCCCTACGGGGCTTTCCATAACGATACTAAATGCTGTCTTGCCTTGCCATCCCCCTCATCCAAAATTCATACAGAATTTCAAAAAACATTAATATAATCTCTAAGTGGGAGTGATAAAAATAAAGTCATGGCAATGATTTCAATCTGAGGTCATATCTTTCACTTCATAACCCACATGGCAGCTCCAACATTTGAAAGAACAGAAGGAAAAAGGCTGGGCCTGTGTAATACTAGTATGATCACTAGTAACAAACCTATAAAACTGAAGTCTGGAATAAAATAAGAAGAAAACTGAAACAGTATCTTGTTTTACTCCAATTCCTGCAGATAGACTTGTCTGAGCAATCTAACGAAGTACTACTGTTTAAACAGAAGACTTAGGTTAACCCAATAGAGACAGAGAAATCAACTGCCAGTTTCCAATATTTTCCAACTTCAAGTTCACTGTCCCATCTTCAAATTTAACAAATTAAGTATCCTCAAAAGGCAAATTATTTTAAGTTGCATTTCAAAAACAAGTCTTATCATCTGCAAGCTTAAGTAACAGTTAAAACCCCTTTAATGGTATTTGATATACCAAAGGCTATTCTTGGAAACTTGTAGCAATAAAGTTGAACGATTCCAAACTTCAACTGGTTCTAGGAAATTTAATTTTATAGAAAAAGCAGATGTTGTTCTGCTTCACCAACTCCAGCCACTCAGAATGCACAGCTGACCTGCTTCCTACCCAGAGGTTCTCTGACTATCAAGAAAACATTAACTTATCTGGAAGGCTTAAGGAAAACAGTAGGATCTGTGAAGAATGACCAATGGACAATAGCAGAAACTAGTAAAAGACAAAACATTCCAAACCACAAACTTAACCTGACAGTCCAAATCTGTTAAAGAAATAACCTTCTAAAACAAACAAAAAAAAGTAATTTGAAGCCCCTTATTACAAGGTCTGCAAAAGCACTGAGAAGGTAGGACAGCATGTTTGTACCAGATGCTCCACCAGACAAAGAATCCTGCTGACACAGGCCTAAGGACCCCCCCCTCCCAACCCCATTCCTTTGATCCCACGTCATCTTTTATGATTGCCTGTGCTCAGCATGAGAAGACCCTTCTTTCATATTTAGTTCTTTCCTAGATTTTCAAGTTTGTGAATTCTCCTAATGCAAAATCGTGCTAAAGTCAAATACGAAGACTTGGAGGATCAACATCTGAGCCACAGTAAGACTTCACTGCCATTTAAGTGGTGTAGCTGAAGACCTCAAGCCCACTTCAAAGATGTTAGATCTAAGTCTTGGAATAAAGTTCTGATCTTCAACTTGGAATACTCAGGTTTTAGACCCAGCCTACTTCACAGAGTATTCTGACAGGGACTCTTATCTGATGCATTAGTATTAAAAGCCTGCTCCAAGAAAGAATCCATAATAACTGCATCCTTTTATTTTCTGTTTAAAAGCATGAATGCAATACCCAAATTCCCCTTCCCAAGTCAGTCAGTAGTTGTGTCTGCCTACTAAAACAATTTCTTCAAAGTGATCCTCCTTCCTCTCTTTTCTAGCCACATTAATTGAAAATTCTCAGCGCTACGTAAAGAAAAAAAAAGAGGGATATGCACACCTACTAGAGAAAATAAGTATGAACGCAAAGCTTCCACCTGATGAGGAACATAGAGAGCCATAAGCACTGTCTCCCTAGAAGCTGGGAATTCAGAAGCAATAAAGGCAAAGACTCTTCAAACCTTCTGTTTCTGAATGCTGGAACAGAAGAGTATGTTTGCACATACCACTCAACAGCTTTATTGTTTTCAGTGGTTCTTCAGACTGGTGAAAGTGGCAGTGTCAAGGAAGAAACTAATTTCTCCTTCATTTTCAATCAACATTCGTAACCCTATAATAATCAAAAGCTTCAACATTACAAAGATTAATTCACCTAGGATTGCTTCTGCAAGTGTTAGTAGTCAAAAATAGTGAAAACTAAGCCCTTATATTAAAACACAGTGATCGAAAAGAGTATGGTGATCCTCAGCGGGAAAAAACCCAACAGGATTTTCAACCTATATTAAGCACAGAAAGGTAAACTTCTGAGTCATTCACATGCTATTTAGGGTCACAGCACATATTTGTTGAGGATCTCCACATGATAAATAAATGCAAGGCTCGGTAGGTTAGCTTTGTCAAACAGATTTTTTTTCTTCTTTACTGGAGTGACTTAAGGAGGTTCCAAGTGAGAAAGCAACAGGAATAAGATTTTGTATTTTCTTGGCTCAAATGATAAAAACATAAACCACAATACAATGTGTACAACTTAAGATTTCAAGGAAAACTCCTTCAAGCTCCACAGCAGCTAGCAGCTTGTCTCTATTTGCCGTCACTCTAGATCAGAAGAGTCCACATGCTTTTTTTTTTTTTTTTTCTTTCCTGCCCCTTTCAGTTACACTTGAGCTCTTTGACTGAAAAGGTCTGGAACAGATTAAAAGTCCGACCACAAAATAAAGAGCCTTGGCATGTACTCAAGCCTGTCTGGGATACACATACGCAGTGGGCCCAAAAAGGGAAGCTATGCAGCAAGAAACTCTTATGCAGTATTTCAGACGTTTCTAACTTCTTTCAGTTTAACTGCACAGCCTTAACATTTGATGGAGTTTCAGTATGCACAAGGCAAGTAGTTTTAGCCCTTACAGTTAGACCATAGTATTTACAGGAGTACAAAATAGTTTGGAGAAACAAGATTCATCTCACTCATGACCTCTGTCAACTAAAGCCTTTTCATGCTGCTTTTTATATCCAACTCATCACTGGAAACTATAAAGTAATGCAAAGAAAAGAAAAGAAAAAATACATACCCTGCAAAATTACTTAAGTAAATATAATTGACCTGCCTCTCTTAGCCGCAAAAGGAAACACCGATTTTCAAAATGACTGCTTCCTTTTCAGCCTTATTCACATATTAAGTAATTGTAAAGTTGCAAATTACCCCCACACTCCTCTTGCAACAAGCAAACAGGTCTGCAACTCCGGCTGGTGTTAAAGCCGGCATGGACATTTGCCAAAGCTGACAAGCTTCAATATACGCCCCACCTTTGGGCTCAAGTTGCACAGTGGTTCAACCTGTCTACAAACTGGTGAGCAGTTTATAAACAAAGTGTGACAATCTGGTGTTCTCCCTAAGAGCAAGCGGATGTTTAAAGTAAGCACTCAAGCCTCCAAAAGAAAAATGCTGCAATTTCTACCAGCCGTTTCAGAAAAACAAAACAAAACAGTGACTGTTGAGTTTTGCAGCTCTGTGTTTATATGGCATTCATGGAGTTAATGCCTCTCCCAAAAGGGGCCCACAGTTGTTGTTAGGTCAACCCCTGTAAAGCTTCAAAGGCTCTGTATCCCCTCAGCCTGACCTACTCAGTGATCTGCACACTGTTTTCATTTAGTTGCACTGAGTCCAAAACTAAAGCCTGAAAACCACAATGATCTCTTCTTTTTTTACCCCTACTGTTTTTTCCATGGCTCTGGAAAAATAACTAAAATCCAAAGGAGTTGAAAATAGTAAGTTATTGGAGTTGAAAATAGTAAGTTGTGAAAACAAATCAAGGGTAAATTAATACAGCTAATAAAGCTCACACACTCAGGTCATGGCTTCATACAAAAACTAAAGTTGTAATACCACCTTTAAATACATCAGAACAATCACTTGGACAACCTAGTTTAGATTTAGAAACTAGTTTAGAGTCTCTTAATAGTATATGCTATTGCTATTCAGTGCCACCAGTGCCAATATTTTATTTAAATATTTGCAGCTCTGCTTTCCATATAGATCAAAAACACTATAAAAAATGAGGTACCAGTTCTATTTTGTTAAATTTTTACATCCAGACCTTGTGATCCCTAATTTACTATTTTTATTTCCAACATTACATAGTCTTTACCCCACAAGAAGATTATTATAGAAACAACAAAACTAATTGTTTCTCTCCATATTGTTTAAAACAGAAAGTTCTGTCAGGATCATCACTGTGACAAGCTGGAATTATAAGCTGGTATATGTTTCAAGTGTATTTTAACAGCATAAATTATTATTTGACAATGCCCTCTTTAGGACATAGCAAAGGAAAGTAAATATTTGTTTGGGAATTAAAAGATTCTTCTGTGGTAAAGGTTTGCAATTTTAACGGGAAGAGTGAGCTTGGCTGAAACTGTCTCTAGGTAAGTAATTTCTGAATGCCACCAATTTTGGGAACTGTATGGATCATATGGCAAAATCCCAACCCCTAGCATTAGAAACTTTGGTGACATACACTCCTACAGGATATATGCTAATCCTTTTTAGCTTTTTTAAAAAAATAATTATTTAAATAAGGTCTCTATAATTCAACTGAAAATATATTGTAATCGAACTATAAAAAGTTTTCAAAATATGTCTGCAAAATTAAAGCTGAGTGAACTGAAGCGAATCAAAAATTCTGAAGTGAGATGAACTTTTACCAAAGCGTGGGTCAAGCCTTGGGTCTAGCCAAGATGTGGTCTTGTTCTTATGGTTTATGTAGTAAATTTCTCCATCCTGGGTCATAGCTTGTTCCCATCCATCGGGGAGTGGGCCTGCAATATAGAAGGAAGGAGTTGATGGCGGGCTCTTGTTTGCTCCAGCTGAAATTGATCTAAAAAAAATTCCAACATTTTACATATATAACAGTACATGAAACACAAGAGTTTCAAGCTCATGTCTAACATTTCTGGGATAAGGGCAAAGAAGTGGCAGGCGGGAAATCAAGGAACAGAAAGCACTTCTATCATTTTGATTTAGGATTTGGACTTCAATTTTGTCACTTGTTTGCATCCTTTCGTATGCTTTTGACGCTTCCTTTTGCTGTCGCACTATAGTACAAAACCAGCAATAAGTCAAGCCTGCCAGAATGAAACCAGCATGAGCACCAGGAAAAAGACTAAGCGTAGAGATATTCTACTATTCATGGGAAATTAATCTAGTGATTAAGGCACAGCAGCAGCAACAAGGTAACGCTGATGAGATCCTGAAATATTCCCGTCTTTCACAAACGATTAAAAAAAAGTGACAAAACTAGTTTTCCCTTTACCTCATACCATAACCTTCTGTGAAAGCGTTAAAGGCTTAAGCAAGCAAAAACACAAACCTGAAGAACAGGAGGCAAACAAGCAATGAAAAAGCAAAGGTAAGAAAACACCAGCAGCAGACATAGAGACACAGTGCTACAAACAGCGGTGCTACGCCTCTACGAGCAGGAAGGTGCAGGCGGGGAAACCAGCACTTAGTTAATGGTAAAAGGGAGGTAGGTGATGGTGCTCTGGAGTCCAGAGCTAATGTCTGAACACAGAGTTTTGAGGTGTGTTTCCCTTATGTTCCAAATAGCAGCTTTCGAGAAAACCACCTTTCATCGCTACACAGTTCATAAACCACTCGTTCCCGTCTCTATATGATCATGTACCTTCATCTGTATTTTGCTTAGATTGAAAACTGTTCTTAAAGTTTCATTCATTTCATCTTATCTGGCAGGTGCTTTATAAATGTATGCTTTTGAATTCTTACACTCACACAGATATGGACTTTAAGAAATATCTAAATTCCATACAGGAAGTTCTTGCCTGTATTTCTTTAGCTTTAAGTACAGTCCAAAGATGATACAGCAAAAGATCCACCATACATGTTAAGAATGTGAAAGAAATTAGAACAAGACCTGCTGCCGGCAGCCAGCATATTTCAACCTCTCCTTCCATCCTTCCTCAGTGTAATACAGTAATACACTAGCAAAAGCCATCTGGCTATTAGATTTGGACTAACAGACCACTCTGTATAATGTAAGGTACATTAAGTATGCACAAACATCAATTTCACACACGAGGGTCAGATATACGCACAAAAATATACATGTGTATCTGATAAATGCCTGAAGTACCTACTATATCCATGTTCAAAGTACATTAGCTCTTTGCCTGTCATTTTGTCCTAAAGTCATGCTCCTGATGAAGAATGCACTGTCTAAAGCTGGGGTATGGGGGGAAAAGATAGATTTGTTTGCTTAATCTCAAGCGATTTTCTTGGAGAAATGTCAAAAAGAGCAGAATAATCATTCGACTGCATTCCAGTAATATCCCAAGGCATAACCTGGACAAGAATTTCTTACTGTGGTCTTTGAAGTTCCCCTGCAAACTACATTTCTAATTTAAACTCTTTCATTTTGGCTCAGAAAACTATGACTTTCTCTAGCAACCTCACTACTCCACCATTAATTACTACAGGCTTTTGAGTGAGGAAAACAGATGACCTAACCATTGGACATTTCCTTCCCATCCTTAACACTGACAAGCTTTAAATGTGGCACACAGGTAACAAGAGTACCTCAGCTTTTATCAGAGGCTAGTGAGCAGAACAGGCAAGAAAGAGTAACAACACTGCAAAACATTCATAAATCCTAACGTATTTACAGTATAACAGGACTTCGATGCAGAACTGAAAGCTCAAGTGCAAAGATCTCCGTGCTTTGTTACCATACCCAAAGACCAGCCAGATAATCAGTGAGATGCTGTTTTATAAAACTGGGGCACTGCAGCACAGTGACATGCCACATCATCCACAAGTAGAAGCCAATGAAGAACCAAAATGTTCCTTGATGGCTAAGCCAACACCCTAGCACCTTCTTGCTACCATTCTTCTCAGAGTCCTTCTAAGCCATACATCCCTCAGAGATGAAACTCAGCAAGAAATTATCTTTTGAACTGCAAAGCCAAAAAACCCAGCTGGCTCTAGGAAAAACAAAACTAGCCTTGGGGTGTCAGTCCTGCTGCACAGTTGTGTAAAGTGTATACTGGTCCAGCATGTTCCTTTGTAGTAAAATAAGAACAAAATGCCTTTGAAGCAGGATGCCAGGAGCTGATCAGGCCACCTACCTGGTGGAAGAATACTGCTTATTAGATTCAATGATCTGATGAGCACTAGCTTACTAGAGACAAATCTGGGCAAGTTTATCCTTCTAAGTAAAATGTACAGCTGTGAACAGGACAGGAAAGGTCTGTCTGCTCACCTGGCTGTCACAGTAGCAAGTCTTCCTTGCTAAGTGCCATCAACGGCTGCAGAAGCAGAACTTTTCTCTCTACAAATTTTTGGCATTAATCATGATGTTACTTTCTTCCTCGGCCAGTAAACTGCTCTCGTGTTTCTGCTGTCATCCCTACATGTTGAAATGGTAGCTCAAAAATTGATTAGTACTGCTTTCTGCAATTCCTATTTGGATTTGCGAGCAGTTGTGAAACCAGAAGACTGTCAAGTCTGATTTTGTAACTCTCTGACAAACTCTGTATTAGAGGCACTCGCCTCTAACCATGAAGAATAGCAGACACATTCACTCAGAGCATCTAGGAAAGTTCCTGTGCAATTACATGCCCCTTTTTTCCCAAAAGGCTCAATAGGAACAGAATTCCCAGCATTAGCTTTTGTTTTTAAGTGACTTAAGTTACATAAGCTCTATATTGCTGCTCTTCAGACCTCGTCACTAAAATTTCCATAGTTAGCCAATGTTGTACAAAACCAGCCGTGCTGTGCCTGACCAAAAGTCCATCTAGCCCAGGCACCTAGCATGGGTGATAGACAGATCTTATTGCTGAAAGCAGCCCATTTAATCATGATCAGACTCTATAAACTTTTAAATAAAGCACTGAATACACATATAGACCCAAAAAGTATAGTGGCTATGAACAGTCACTTGGCCTCCAACTACCTCAGGTGATTTCTTGAGCCAGGTTCTGTCTACTTACTAGGTGCCAAAGGATCTCTCTCTCAAGTGCTTTTCCAGTCTCCCCGTGAACCTCTGTAAACATTTAGCACCAACAATATCCCTGTGGCATAGTCTCCTACTAGTTCTGTTTGAGGCCTCCTAGGTCAGCTGAATACAATCACATAAGCTTACAATTCTATGAAATTACTTGCACAGGGAAAGACAACCCTTCTAGGGAACTCACCATTTACTGTGGTACTTCTAATAACAAGATTATCCAAAAATTAGGTTCCAATTTCCAAATCTAAGCCATCCTTACAGAACTACTGATAAGGCATACCTCTGTAAGTAAGTATTTATATAATACTGTAACTTAACATAAATACACATAATTTTAGAAGTCTCTGTGCATGTCTCAGTTTTTTCTGAGTTTTTACTTTCGCAATGCACCATTTTTGCCATGAAACGCAGAGTCGTGAATGCAAAGCAGAACCCACTGCTGGCAGACAGAAAGCAAGAGAGAGTAACAAAAGCCAAAACGCAGTACAGATTCAAGCTAGGCTGGGATACAAAGTAAAATCTTGCAAGTCCCTACAGTTTCTGATACATAACTGTAAAATAAATGTAAATAAATAAAGCTGTATTTTATCACAAGATTAATGCGTATTAGAGGGCATCTGTATTTAGATATTAAAAGAATATGCATGGACAACCTAGGAACTGGAACACCTACGTTCAACTGCAGGAATCACCTTCCCATAATACAAACACTGATCTCCAAGAACCTTCCTTATCTTTCTCCGTAAAAGCTGAAATTTTTCCCTTCAGTCACTGTAACTGTTATTCCAAAAGTTTTTGAAATTATATCAAAGTCTACAAAAATCTACCAAAAGTCCACCTTTATTCTGTTGAATCAGTAAAGCTTACAAAAAACACTATTTAAAAGGGGGCATTTTTTGCAGATAAAGAAAGAAATGAACATTACTGCCACGCAGATACTTAGAAACTCGAGTTTCACAACAGATCGTATGTAGTGTTGACTGTACACAAAGCAGAATGGTAGCATGACTGGTTACATAGAAGAGAACTCATCTGCGACTGAAGTGAGCAAGAACCTACGAGAAGAGTTAGAACTTGTTCTACTTACTGGCATATTCCTCCTTACCCTCCTGCCCCCCAAGGGGAAGAAAAAATCTCAACAGTTATGAATTCAAGTGTCCATTTTCCTACCAACCTCTAACATGGCACTACAGCCTTCCCCTAAGAGGCAACAGAATTACACTAGGTCTACAAACCAGGAAGCCCAATTCAAAACTGCAATGTGAGAGGGAAGACAAAAGAGGACAAAGACAGGTAACCTGCTCCAAAGCTAATTATCTAATGCCTATGCACAAGCAGAAGAGGCTTAAGTAAGCAGTGCTGCCAAGCATGATTCAGGAAGTAGAAGTATCTTAGGAATGGAAGTATATAAATACAATTACTATCTCATCTCTGTTCTATCAACTGCAATCATATAAGAAACAAGTATTGTTTACTTTCCAGTTTATAACTTTACATCAATAAGAATAGCATAGGACAGGTTCCTCAGAATAACAACGTACCGTGGTCAGGTTTTTTGATTTAAAAACAAACCAAACCAAACAAGACAGAAGAACATAATTTTTCCTGTAATACCTTTAGGGAAAAAAATGGTTAGAAACACACATACAAACAATCACAACAGTCAAGACTAATTTTTATATACATGTTGCATATTTAGAAGTAACATGCTTGTTTTCTTTCCATTATTGACGTGAAGATGCAATCCTATTTCACAGACTAACCAACAAATGCCATCCAGAAGAGCACTGTGTTTCTCTGCATACATACAGCCCAAACCATTTTAGTTGATTACATGTAGCAAGTTAAGTTCAGCAAGACTGAGACAAAAAAATATCAAAGAACCAAAACAAGCAGGAGGAAAAAAAAATCCTCACTTTTCACATACTGATGCCCTCCTGTAAAGGACATATGCTTACTAACACTCATAAAACAGATCATTCACAAAATCATGCTGGGAACAGATGAAGCTGGTTCAGATGCCTATTGATTTCCTTAAAGAAACGTAACTTGCAGCAACATACCTGGATTCTCATTCAGTCTTGACTGCCTCAAGAGGTGGGATTTCTTAAGAAAAACAACCTAAAAATCTCAACCTTGTGCTAAACTACATCTTCTCTATGCCAGTTTTCATTGTAAACACTCTTTTGACTTGCCTTCACCATTACCACACCTTCTAGTTTTGTTTTCTTCCCACTTTCCCTGAGTTCCACGTATCCTATTTATCCAGAAAAGACAACAGGTTTATCTTCAATATGCAGACAGCAGCATTCTGTTCTCTCCCTCTTCAGTTTGTTTTCCTGTTCTTAATTCTTGGTAATGGAAGCTTCCAACAGCTTTCAAGACAGCTCCCAAAAATCTTCTTTCTTACATTTTACCACAGCAACTTTATTTACAAGCTCCTGTGGCTGTCTGTAATTAAATATTCTGATTAAGGCCTACAATTACCAAGCGCTACACAAGGATGAACCGTACAGAAAGGAAAACATTCTCCCTTGTGGCATTTCAAACATTTTTTCACATCAGTGACCTCCAGCTGTCACAATACTTAACACTTTATTTTTCCCAATATCTTTCATGAAAGACTCTCAAAGCACAAGGGCATGTTTCATTGCCAGCAATATTTCATAACAGGAAACTTGTGTCTTAAAAGTCTCAACTTTATTTCCCAGTTCTTGAGGATGAATATCCAAATTAGAACATTAAGCAGTCTTATATTTATGAGGTTAACACTTAAATCTAAGTTCCACTGTGCTGAAGTGGTACATAGTTACTTGATTTTTCCATTTCTCTCATTCTTTATGAGGCCACCAAGGAAGCATAAGTTACCATGAACTCAGCAGTAAAAAGTAACAGAATCAGATCTAAGAAACTTTAGCAAAAACAAATACACAGTCATAATCATACTACCTCAACTGATTTAAGCTTAAAAAAAGCAACACTGCATAAACATATAACTTATTGTACACAGAAGTTCTGATTTCTTCATGCACTTAATCAAATTCAGAGCACTGGGGAAAAAACTTTACAAGATTTTCAGTTCATATTCAATACAGTATCATCGGTGAAATTAAAAATAAATGTTCAATGAACTTGTATTCAAAGCAAGTGCTTTTTCAAGTCACAAGATAACCCACTTAAACATCTCAACTCTCCTTTACTGCATGAGCAACAAGATCTATGCAGGATCACTTTCACACACACATCAGTCAATTACATGTACATTCTTAATTTTCTTTTTAAAATAATCCCCCTGTACTGACTGCTAGATTCTCTTTTAGATTTTTACCCTTACAACTAACTAGTTTAATTTTTTGCTAAGGACCCTTCATTTCTTTCTAAGTACATAACATGAATCTTACTTCACTATTGGTATTTGCTCCTGTCAATTCTTGGTACAACAGAAGGTTTGAGGAGTTACCTTAAAATACAGAATTTATGTCAATATTCAAATAGCAAGCACCTTTCTCCTACTCCCTGCTCTTCAGAAATGTCCCTGCAAAAACACGCCGTTCATCTCTACTGCTGCAGGTTTCCTGGGTTGTATTTACAGAAAAAATAATCACAGATACTGTATTTTCACATCAGAGCCTGAGACCTTAATTGCTCTGAATCATGACTTCCTGAACTTGAACAGGACTCTCATTTGTTTCAGGATAATCCAAACTCCTAGCCCAGCCAGAAAAACTTTGATTAGCTTCCCCTCCAGTACTCAGTCATGAACAGCACAGTTTGGTCACGCCTGTTAATCTTTTGGTATTGTCTGCAGCATATGAATTGCAGCATGAAACAAAGCTGTCTACATGGACAACAAAAAGCAGCACCAGAGAATAACCTTTGTGAAATACAGGAACAGCGGACATAGACAAAATACAATCAGACTGTGAGAAAAGAAATAAAACATGAACCTCAGCGACAAACAGAAGGTGACAAAGCATAGGGAGGAGCGCAGCAGACAAACTAGCATGGCACCAAATTTATCTGCTTGCTCTTTGCACCATCAGGACAAGAGAGCTTTGAAAACAAACAGCAGATCCTACAGCAAGAACAAGCACACTTTACTTCTGTCTAGTGACAGCCCCCCCCCCAAACTAGCTGAAAAACAATTCTATATTCCAGCAAAAGCTATCAGACTTCTTCAGGTACAGAAATAACCATCGTGATTTCCATATTGGAAATGATAGGAAAATAAGAGGAAAACCAAAACATCTCTGCTTCTAAACAAGATTTTCCAAGTGTTTGCTTTATTCATTTAAGGAAGACAGAAAAAATTAGATGTCCCTAAGAAATGTAGGAAACTTACAAAAGGGAGTTTACCAAGTCTAATAAGTGAGCAAGGGGAGGAAGAAGAACACTGCAGAAGCACAGTAGCTTTAATGTAAATTGACACTAATTTAATGGAAATTCTGGTCTTCATCAATTTAACAGCATATTCAGTTCAAAGGAAATTAAGACAAAAATTCTGCTTCTTTAAATGTTTGAATCATCCATTTGAAAAAATAAAAGCACAAACCAAAGAACTACAGGATACTTTCTGTTGACATCATAAATATTATGCAAATTCTCTTACCTCAAGTTTCAGCCTCTCGCTTGATGCATCAAGCATCAAACAAATTAGAAGTTTAAAACCACAATAACTCAAAGGACAATTGTGAGATCTGACCCCCCCCACCCCGTTAAAATAGCTAGTGGTATCATTTGTATGATCTTTTTCATAAATAGAAACTTTGCTTTACCTGATGCTGAGTTCATGATGTTCTGCTGCACGGAAGGACTGGTGGGAGCTGTAACATTCATCTGGGAAAGCATGGCCTTCCTAGGATCTTGCCATGTTGTTGTTTGATCAATGTGACTAAGATAAAACAAAGCGAGAGTTAGGACAGCCATGCATCCACAACAAGGACCTGCTAGCACAGAAAGTTTAACAACAAAAGGTTAAGCCTGCCAACAACAACAGCCATGTTCAAAACCAAACAAGAACTGTTTGGATTCTTTCCAAGCATCATGGTAGTCAGACTCCCAAACCCTTACTTTGGCTGCCGCCACTTTCCCAACAAACAGCTGTAGGGATCAGAGCTAGAGCAACAGTGAGAGATAAGGCTCAACGTGAGCATTGTAATCTAGACTGTTGTACCGTAACTACATGTTGTATCCTTGAACAAAACACTCTCTTCCTTTTCTCGTTGATTAGTTACTTGTCATTTTTAAATGTGACTTCAGAGTCTTTCAAGCCAAGCCAGTTATGTCTGGAATCTCAAGCACAATCTCTCCATGGAAATTTAAGCAGCCAGTCACACTACAGCAGTAATATAAAAGTGATGTGCAGCTGCCTTGCGACTTCATACGAAAAGATGAGGGCAGCTAGACTGTAACTCAACTAGCCTTCTGCAGAACCCAATTACAAAACTTTGGGAGCACAGATTTATCTGTTTGGAAAAAACTGTAAAGTACATTCAGCACCATCATTCATGAAAGTATTCAATTCAATGAAAATACAAAAGTGTAATGAATGATTACTTCACCTTTTGAGTATGCGATTAGCATGTTTTGCTAATGAACACAAAGGCAGACTACCCATAACAAGCATCAATTTTATCTTGATGCCATTAAGCAACACTGCTCCAAGAAGTACATGTGGACAAAAATAAAACTACTAATACACACTAAGCATTGATAACAAAGTTTGTTATTGATTAATTTAGAACTGGTATCAATTAAAATGATATTCAAATTGTACTGTTATCAATTAGAATCCAACATATCACTAACTTGGCACAACTCTTTCCTTACATTAATAATACTTAGAGTTACTTTTTTCTGGTTTACATGGAATGCCCATTTTCATTTACTTCAGCAAAACCACAACATTTAAAGCTGCAATATAAATTCTATTGGTGATCTGAGTTTAAAACTAGGTATTCCAACTCATACCTCTGCTTTGTACCCCTGTCGTGCATCGTGGTTTGTATGTATCTTGGTGGATCAATGCGTATCTGTACTGAGCTATCAATCAGGCTGTAAATCTTCCACCTTTTTGTTGGGATTAAATAATAATTGTGCAGCAACTCACAGTTCCCAGTTTCTCTTATTTTAAGGCATATTCAAGTTTAGGGTCTGATGCTGGTATTAAAATAATAATTTTAGACATTCTAAAGGGACAAATAGTTCAGATTTAGTCACCTCAACACTAGCATCTTTGTGGACACTGACATCTGACCTCGTCACCCTGCTCTCCACCAGTGAGAAAGGAACCTAAATAAGCACTGTTAGGATGTATTTCATTTGATCAATGTAAGGAGCTTATTGGAGGTGAAACAGGCCTATTTTCTCCTTCAAGAAAGGAACCTAAGTTAACTAGGTCAAATACATTGACATTAGGAGAGATGAATTCCAAACTTAGTTTATGTATTTGCACGACCACAGCATCCAAGAGCTCTCTGGTCATAAATTAAGGCCTCATCATAGGTCAAACTGGACAAACACAACACAGCATTATTTTCTCCCTGCCCAAAGCAACTAATTGCTATGCCTGGAAACTTACTAATGAAACCCTTGACTCCAGTTAATAAAAATGTGCTCCACTGAATTAGTACATCTTTTAAACATGTCCTTTGATGTTCAAAATGTTGGTATTTCCCCCCAAAATACTAAATTTTATAACCACTTCGTAATTTCAAACAAGTGAGAATGAATAGGTACAGAGAATCTTAAAATGGGGTAGTACTCACCAAAATAATTACTTATGTAGAATTATTTATCACATTATAATCATCGAAGGGACTTGCTGTTATAAGGTAGAAGGTATAACGAAGTGGCTTTTTAAAAAGTTTTGGTTTAGGATACGTATATTTTACCCTCTCTAGACATGCACACAAACACTTCCAGGTCAAAGAGTTACAGACACACCGTAGCAGGGTCCCAAAATAGGCAGAAATGTTACTTGTACAAAAATATAATAGTAAACAAAGCTCTACTTTGTCTGCATGTGGCAACTACTGACAGTTTTCCCTCGTGTACAGGAAACCCCCCATTACTACAGCGCTAATTAAAATGGTGTCACCGCCATGTTAGTCTCCACAATACAGCTCATTTAATCCAGGTACTATTACTCACACTGCATCTTTGGTTGCATGTGTTTTCCAATATTCCACTCCACTGAGAAACATGCCACATGCAGCAAGACTTCTTTATTTCCTTTTTGGCCTATTTATTTATAAAACAGGGCACAACATAGTAAAGACTGCCCTATATATACTGTACTATACATAAACCTTCATACTGGAGAGCATTTTTTTCACTTTTCTGCTGTTAATTTTGCAAAGCAATGAAAGCAGGCAAAGATAATACAGATGTAAAAACACTGCACAGTAATGCTTCACAGACTGTGTGTTTAAATTACAGTACCAGCATGTGCTACTCCTCCCCTCTATTTCTGATTTGTTATATTTACTCAGCACAGTTGTGGGAACAGTGGAAACTGGGAAAACACCGCTGCACCCGTGATTACACATTTGTTTATTTCCATTTAACTCCTATAAAAATCCATGTAATAATATGAACTTATAAAATGTCTACCTAAGGTACAAACTTTATAGCCTTTGCTTTTACACACCATTTGAGTGCAGAGTAAGAAACAGAAGGGAAAACGTTGTTTCGCTGCATTACAGAACCATGTTTTGCAGTTAACTGCAGGAACACGCTGAAACAACATTCACCAGCTTTTCCAAACATACCTGAATACAGGATAGATGAATGGGCTATGGAAGAAGCAATTTTAAAAGTACCTTCAATTCTGAGCACAAGGACAGCATTATCGATTCCTCAAGACTGCTTAACCATACCATGCGAAGTATAGTTAATGTTCATAAGGAGTTGTTAACATCAATAGCTATTTTAGGCAGCAGCTTCAAACTTCTCCCTGAGTATCACCTGAGAAAATTCAGCATGTACTTACTTTACCAACTAAACTCCAACCAGTAGTCGTCTTCAAGCAAAGAGCCACAGAAGAAAAGTCTCAAACTAAGTGAGCTGATTGCATCAAAATCATTAAAATCATCCATTTCCCCCACACCTTCCCTCAGAACCTTGCTCTTCAACCTCCCTCCAACTACAGTCCTTACGTGTATCTTACCTGCTCCATATCCTGAGGTTTCGAATGCTATAGACTAAGAAACCACCCCAAACACATCACAACAGATCAGTCCTTTTCCACAACTTCCAAATCACGCTCATCAATTTACAGAATACAAAGCAAGCAAACCCTCACTTATATGGATGAAATGTTCAAATAAATCATAGTAGTACAGGAAGGAATATAGGTCTTCATTTTGTTCAGTATCTGCAGCATGTGCACCAGGGTAACTTACTATAAACACTACGTATTTCTCATCAATTTAAGTATGGAAACAGGACATTCTCCACAGGTAAAGATCTTTCCTTCTGTTCTGAATAGCAGCACAGAAGAGGTTTAAATGGACATAACAAGAACTCTGATACCAACAATACATTATCTTTCCTTGCACTAAGTACATTTTTTTCCCTTAGTAGCTGCATGACATGGCAACTGCCCCAATCCTTACATTCGGTATCTTCTATTTTATTTTACCTGAGCCATATCTTGATAAAGCACTGGTCAACCTCAAATTTTTAAAAAAGTATTAGAAAATTATATCGAGTCAATGAAACCTATAAATCAGGCATCATATTTAGTACACTACTATCAAATTAAACTTAAATTCTACCTACTCATGAACTAGAAACACAGCTCTGTACTGTGTGCACAGAACAAAATGAGTAAAAAGTCTTGGAATTAAAAATCAACATCTCTAGGACAATAAAGGAACAGAAGACATTTTACTTCATTGAATAAATTCTCAAATCCAAGACCTAGCTAACTGACACAATCTATTATTGTTCATTTATGTCTGGGTGAATCCCTGTTAAAAGAGGACAAATGTTGTATAAAATAAGGAAATCAACTGAGACTGCACCATAAATGTAGGTCTATGGTAACAGGCCTTAGAAAAACAAAGCTAAAACACCCAGAACATGCTAAATATTTGTTAGCAAACTTATGTCAATTCTGGTATCAAGAAGAGTGACTGTTCCAAGCCACACAACCCCCCATCCTCCACCAAGAAGCACTTTCAAAGTGCTATGCATTAGGAAGAGAATCAAGCTGTCTCTCCTCACTCGTTCCCCAATTTTACAGTCACATGTTAATTATTTACATATTGAAAAAAAAACTTAAAAGAAAAATGTTCTCATTTTATGCATGCAAAGAGCATTTCTGCAGTTACTAAGAATCAGAATTTCTAATTGAAAGAAATCTTTATTGGCATTAAACACTATCACATGCCTGAAGATTTGTCAGATTCAATTTCTAACCTAATTTTAAAGAGTTGGTTGGTTTGTTTGGTTTGTTGGGGTTTTTTTTAAGTACAATGCAAAGGAAGCAGGAGATCCAGAGACCAGGAAAAAGTTGCATTTGTTACTTTTTGATGAAAATAACCTTCAGATGTTAATAGACTAATAAAATAAAATCATTCTTAAAACCAGAAACTGATCTGCCTTTGCCCAAACTGTAATACACCTTCACATTTTTAGTCCAGTTGCTGCACTGAAAAGACATGAACTGTATTATCGAAAGCCATGTCAGAAATGAACTGACACACAAAGGACACTCAAAAAAATTACTTAAATCCTTTGAGGAAGGCTTATCCAAGAGGCTTTCAGTTTTGATTTTTCAAAGTATTTATTGCAACTACAGTGTCCCTGTTGCTAGGTACACTTTTCAAGGTATGTTGAGGACTTCATTCGAGTAACAGAATTCTCAGTCATTACAAAAGCATG